ATGGAACTTCATAGCTGAGTGGGTCTCAGAAGGAACATCTGGGAGAATGAATTTTGTGAAAAATGCCATCCAGAAGGGGATGAAAAAATATCATTTCCAACCTTCAGTAGCTGCAGGTGAGTGAGACTAGGCCTCATCTGATATGGTTTTCTCCATTAGTTCTCAGATGATTACTACTTAGTTCAACCATCTTGGTTAAATTAATCTCATTTCAACCAGATATCTCACAGAATATTTGGACTGAAATTTCAGCTCTAAAATAATCCAGAACATTTTGGGTTTTTTGCTGTGTTTTTGCTGGAAAGAGCAACATTTTCTCACATTATTCATGACCAGCTTGGAATTCTAATCAGTTGCTCCTTTAAAGATATTAAAGTTTTCCTTCTGAAGAATTCCAGTTTCTGAATTATCTTTATTACCTCGTGTGTGTGTGTGCGTGCGTGCGTGTGTGTGTGTGTGTGTGTAAATCCTCCCTCCAGCCGGTCATGTCTTTGTTATTACAGCTCCCCCGAGAACCATTGCTGGTCCAACATTTCTACCACTTTCTGAAAAAATTCAACTCATCTCAGTGGACTTTGGATCAGAGACTTGGATGGATCCCACTTCATGTAAACATGTCACATACCGTAATATTTTAGCTATGGAATTACTCCTGCTCAGAGTTTCCAGTTTACATCCAGAAACTCCCACATAGCTCCCACTAGTTGTCACCAATGCTTGGAAAAGAAGAACGAATGTTTAAAAATGGGACAAGAACCTATGATTTAAGAGGTACAAACATTGTTTGTTTAACTTGCCGGCCATCCCATTCAGATGAAATATTTCTCTGATTTGCATCAATAACTAGAAAACTACAGCTTTTGCAACTGTCTTATTTTAATGCCATGGCTTCTGTTTGTAAAGAAACAAAACTCCTTGAGGTCTAAATGCAGCCACAGGAGCATTTTTGAAATTAAAACCAAACCACTGTAAGTGTCGTTTGGCTGCCATATTCCCAATAGGAGAAAAATAGTCCTAGAATGCATTATATAGTAAGAGTTCTCCTGGGTAGAGTATTCTGTATTCTAACTACATGAATCTGCTTTCACTATTTTGGGTTATTGTTTTTTTAATGGAATAATGATGGTGTATATTGGCACACTTGATCTTTGTAAATTCTTGTATGAAGCAATTTGATGAGATTAATACATAAATTGAAATCTAGCTGAATGTCACCCTTTCCCAAATATTACAATATTACTTTGAAGGCTGCTTAGAATGCAACACACAGGCAAGCCAGAGTTTGCTTCTATAACATCTCTACTCTACTACACTGTTCACCAGTTAGCTTTGCTTTCAATTCAAGAAGATGACTATCACTATGAAGCCTTTTATGGCATATGGCCATAAAAGACCGTCGGTCTCCTCGTATGCCTGCCCATCCTGTTTGTTCCAAAAGAGCTGGCATGCTTTGGTCCAGTCAGTTAAACAGGATCATCTGATGGGATTAAGGAAGTGGGCCTTCTTTCACTTGGCACTAGAATAATATCTCCCAGAGATTCATATTGCCCCTGTCCTGATCCCCTTTAAATGGGTGAGTGGTAGCACAGTGGTCAGAATGCAGGATTGCTACCGGGCTCATATTACCATATGTGGTGGACATGTATAGAAGCTAAAGGATATTGGACTAAAATCCACATGGGTGGAAAAAATGACACAAAAACATATAGACTTTAAACCAGAGATTTTTTTATTGGGGATGGTACCTGAAATATACAATAGAGAAATGAGATACTTGATTGTGAATGTATTAACAGTGGCTAGAATTGTGTTTGCTAAAAATTGGAAAAATGAGAAAATCCCAATGAAAGAACAAGTTATTAAGAAAATAATGGAATGTGCAGAAATGAATAAATTGACATTTGAAATTAAAGAACAAGAAGATAAACAATACTATAAGATATGGGACTTATTTTATCAATGGTTAGATAAAAAGACATGGAAATGAAATATGATCTTTCTAATACAAGTAATGTATATGTGTGTGTGTGTGTGTGTGTGTGTGTGTGTGTGTGTGTGTGTGTATAAAGAATGCAGGATTGCAGGCTAACTCTGCCAACTGCCAGCAGTTCAACCCTGACTGGCTCAAAGTTGACTCAGCCTTCCATCCTTCCCAAGTCAGATGGAGGACCAGGATTGTTGGGGGCAATATGCTGATTCTGTAAACTGCTTAGAGAGGGCTGTAAAGCACTAGGAAGCATTATATAAACCTAAGTGCTATAGTTATTGAAGACTATCTCTTTCCCCAAGGGAAAGACAAGAGTGGGACTGGGCCCCTTGTGGGAATGTTGCCTAGTAGAGAAGATGTGTCTCTTACTTTCTTACTTACTCTCCAGAGGTGCCTCATTTTTTTCCTTTTGGTGTGAATGGTTTAGTCATTTTTAATACTATAGAACATCCAGAATGGTCATGTAGTCAAACACATTTACAGATTTGATAAACAGAATTCGATAAATGAAATCTGCCTTGTAACTTCTCAACAATTTTCTTCCCTTAGGAAAGATACTTCTGATTTTGTGCCTTATTCTCAAGCGGCCTCTAATTTTATTTTGACTTTCACTTCATAGTCGTTGATGTCTGGTTGGTTTGCTGAGGTAATGCAATAGAGTCTTGGCAAAAAAAAAATCTTTTAGACAGTTTTCATCACTGCCTAGTATGGCACTAGCCTCCCTGGCTACCCATACTTTCTTATCAAAAAAAAAAAAATGGTGAGAGAGAAAAAGTTCCTCACAATATCTTTTTGGGAGATTTCCTTGTAACTAAATAAATGGAAGAACAGCGCACTTCTTTGAAAGCAAGTTATCTGTCATCAAACAAAATAAGGACTGCCTAAAAATGCAGGAGGATATTTCTGCAAAGCAATAGCACTTAGCAATAGCATTTAGACTTACATACTGCTTCACAGTGCTTTACAGCCCTTTCTAAGCGGTTTACAGAGTCAGCCTATTGCCCCCAACAATCTGAGCCCTCATTTTACCCACCTCGGAAGGATGAGAAGCTGAGTCAGGATCGAAAGGGTCGAACTCCTGGCAATGTGAGCAGAGTTAGCCTGCAATACTGCATTCTAACCACTGTGTCACCACGGCTCAGAGCACTAGAGATAATGAGCATTCATAAACAAACTCTGCCTGGCTGCCTCAGTCTATAAAGTAACTAGATAATAAGCAACAGCGCTGATTCTTGGGAGGTAAAGCCTGTCATTCTGGCTCAAGTAGAACCTCTTGGCTGCTACTTCCATTACTAGCTGCTGCCTGGGGAGTCTTAGTTATGGGGTACAGGATTTTGCCCAGATGTCCATTCTAGTTACTACTGCAAAAAGCAAAGTATAGTACAGTGGATCACCATAACCAATGTATGGGTTGTATTCAGTAGTGGGTTCCACTTATCTTCACTATCAGTTTGGAATCAGGCGTGTGTGCGCACACACGCTTCGCTCATGCACGGCGCTTCTGTGCATGCGCAGAACCTTCTGTGCATGCACAGAGCGTCCATGATGACGTCTGGGCGGGTGGGCGGAGCTTCTCACCACTGCCACTACCAGTTCACCTGAATTGGGGCAAACCGGTAGAAACCCACTGACTGGTTGTATTTGGCTTGAGACCTTTCAAGGTATATTTCAACAAGAAGTCAACCATCAGCAAAAGTATATGAAAAGGGAGGATGAGGGACCTGCCTAAAAATCATTTCACAATTGATTTCAAGGAAAGATGGGAATTTTTAAAAATATGATTGAGATGAATACTTTGCATGAAATTCTTGAGGAAAAATAGACAACCCTGATCTCTGCAACTCAGTTTCACTCTGTGGGGTCCCTGGCATTTTTGTACCCTCCAAAGGGAGTCTTTCTTGGAAGACTGCTTGCCCAGAAAAAAAAAATACTGCCTTTGAACTTTCTTTTTGATCTCTCAGAGACTCCTTTTCTCATGAGTCCAGTGGAAAAGAAACACAAGTCCATTATGCCTGTTACATATGCAAAGAATGTAGAAGGCTAAGGAAGTTTTGACCGCTTCTGAAGTAAAGAAACAGCATAGGGGGAACCAAATGCCAGCCAACCCTCTCAAATTAAAAGTTACCCATCTAAAATGCAGTGGGTGCTCTTGAAACACTTTTCAGGCTTGTGGGAATCTTTTCTATCAAATAGGGGAGCATATTATCACCCACAAGCCGCATGTTCACTTCTACAACTGTTTAAATATGGGGTTAAAAAATAAAACCCTTGAATGTCCATTGGGAAACCTGTGAAGTCTATCTTAATGAAATAATTTTGCACTCTTGCACTTGCACTTGCCTTTTCAGTCTCTGAAATATTGAGTTCCACATCTGTTTCAGCATGAAGACTTCAGGGGGACAGGGACTCTATAAATAAATGACATCATTCCTGCAGTGATACGCAGCTACTTTTTAAAAACAAAATTCTCTAGTGTGTAAATTGTAATACAGTAGGCCATGAGGTAGGCCTACTTTTCAAGGCCTACTTTGTTTGGTGGAGCCCATAGCTCAGTGATTCGACACATAACTTACATCAAACCATTTTCCCGGGTGGACTACCAATTTCTGTGAACTGGAAGATGACATTTAGAGAAAGTTCTCCCTCCTTGAATACTTCCCTAAATTAAAAAGTTGTTCACAAGTTGCATTATTGTCTCCTTGTTTTGGTTTCCCATAATTCTGTTTTACTAATTGAGTATTCATAATGCTTTCTATGAGTAAAGATATAGACCAATATACATCACATGGAAAGATAGTCTGCTGATATTCTTATTCCAGCACTGATGGATGCTTCTTCCCTTGGCATCTCCCTAATATAAGATAAATACCGTAAACCTCTGGTTATGATAAAAGAAAAAAAACTCTCTTAAGATTCAGAAAATATTCTGGCAGGGCTGGCTTAAAAGGTCCTATATATTGACTCAAAATCAACAATTAATGGAATCAGTATGACTTTTGAAGGTATCTTCCTTAGAACTGTCCAGGCACTCTTAATTTTTGTTGGAATGATACCGAGAAGATTAGTGTGGCTCCTGCACAAGGATGACACACAAATTTTCAAAGTGTTGGGGTTAGAGTCATCTAAATGAAAAAAAACACCATGAGAAGATGGCATGATGCTACATAAAACACATTGAATGTCATTTAATTAGAAAAAAATGCCTTTAGCCTCTAAAAGGGTCCCACAGAAATTCTTAGAAAATAAAATATAGGGTGCTTTGCTTAGAAATATGGCCATTGGCCACAGGAAAAGACAATACTAGACAGCATACTAGATAGCATAACAATCAGGAAACCAATCAGAGAAACTCATTGGTTTGCTTGTTTTTATGGGGTTTTTTTTTAATGTTTTTAATTGCCATTTTATGATGTAATGATCTAACTTTGCAGCCAGTTTATGAGAGTGACCACAACATGAGCTCAATATTTTAAATGTGCATTGGCATCCACTGGGTGGAGGAAGAGAGGTTTGAAATGGACAAAACGGTTGGCACAGCAATACCTTCCCAGCTATATTAACTTTGTATATACCTTGACACATGTTGAAAAGCAGCCTGGGACATGTCCTCCATCTTACTATTCTGAGCTCCCCTTCCCCTAAGACCTCCATGCAAATGTGTAAATCTAACAACCCATATTGTTTGCATCTGAGCAATTTATTTATTATGCATTGCACCCTTCCGGTCAATTTGCTGTTTAACTGCAGCTTTCCCTACCCACCTACCCACCCTTCTTTTCAGCTTTATGAACATACCTAGCAACCCACAAATCAGTGTTTTCACACCACAGCAGCATACATGTCAGCCGTGTTTGTTGAGATGCAAAAAGCCTGAGAACTACTACTGGTTGAAATTTTTTTGCAGCTTAAACATTTGCACTTGGCAGCTTATTTTTTTAAAAAAAATGCAAATGATACTCAATACTCCCTATTGACACTTGGTTTTTGCTTCTCAGGGACAGGGTTTCCCTATCAAGCACAAACATACAGATTGTGGCAAGTTCTCAAAACCATAATGAAATCTCAGTTACGTGATGTAACGAGAGAGGGTTATTTGTCAAGGACAGATTGTACTGAAAGACTAGAGTCCCACAGTGGAAATGGGAGTCCTTGGTATGGCTACAAGCACAATAAAATTGAGATCAGGCTATGTCGATACCCACACGCACATCTCACTAACAACAAATCAATCTTCTCAAAACAGAAACAAAAACTTTACTTAATCATTAAGACTGGTGAGCAAAACCGTTGTCTTGAGCAAGGGGATGTATGATGTATGTAGAAACAAATTTAAAGCAAAGGGTTGTTTTCAGTAGATTCTGAGAGCACGTCAGTGAAATGTTCAGATCATAGCAAGAGGGTCATGTTTCCACTCCTACTGATTTAATGCTGACTTGACTCTTGTGAGATGTTGAATCTTTCTTACAGCACTTTGAGAAAGTAAGACTATGCAGGCCAGACATTATTTAGGAAAACCATATCCCATCAGGCCAGCTAAGCAGTGGAACCGAGTGGGGAATTACCAACCACTGACTGCTTGATGTATTGGTGAATTCCCTACAGGGGCCTGAAGTTCTAGAAATACATATGGCCTCGATTTTTCCCAGTTTTCTGTAGACTAATCAACTGTCAAGGATAAAAATTATTTTAAAATAGACTAAAACAGTAGGACTCTCCTTTTTAAACTTTTTTCAAGATACAGACTGAGATACAATGACTCCCAATAAGCTCAGATTAAATATCATAGAACATAGAATAACAGAGTGGGAAGGGACCTTGGAGATCTTCTAGTCCAACCCACTGCTCAAGCAGGAGACCCTGTATCATTTCAGACAAATGGCTGTCCAGTTTCTTCTTAAAAGCCTCCAAGTGATGGAGCACTCACAACTTCTGAAGGCAAGCCATTCCATTGGTTGATTGCTCTCACTGTTAGGAAATGTCTCTGTTAAGGTTATTGTTGTTGTGTTACCAACCAGCAGAGTAGATTGCACAGTGAAACATTGCTGAGAGCAATGAATAAGAGTTAAGCAAACTGGTTTATTAAAAGCTTACTTTATAGTAGAAAAACAGTTTCATAGTCTTTAAACAAATTCCAAGTCTTTGCCAGTAAATCAGTCCAGTAGTTACAGAATCTTCTTACCCAACAAACAGTAGTTGGTTAGAATAACAAACTCACTCTGGTTCACAAACCACGATGGTTGCTCATCATCAATGGTAGCTTATCATCACAGCAGCATCATAGCAGCAACCTCTCAACAGCATATCATAGCAGCAACTGAACACGTTGCAGTACCTTGCTTAAATATTCTCACAACCAGTAATTATGTAATTACAGCATGACTCAGCATTAAAGCCACATAATACATATACAGATAAAGTAACAGTACACTTATATTGCCTGGACAACATAGTTAGGCTCAAACCATATCCTAACAGTCTCCTTAGTTATAGGTTGCTCTTCTGCTTGATTACTTTCAATTTAATTAAGTTTAATTACATTCGTTTCAATTTAATTAAGGAACAGGTCTATAATGAGTAGTCTAACCATGATAGCAAATGGTTAACATCCAGCACACAGTATTGCTAGTAGGTTGGATCAACTTCTGAACCTCCGCTGGACAATGCCATTTCAGGAGATAGTTTGGGAGTTTTTAGAATTAAATCTTTTCAACTGATGCTTCAGCCTCCTGGAGCAAGGTTTTACTTTTCCTAAACTCTAAGGCAATCTGTTCCCACTTTGCTTAACACCTTTGTTGGATTAACTGGTGTCAGTAATTCTTAATGAACCCCTGCTTCCTTATGGGCATTGCTTCAAAATCAGTCCCATAAACCATATGTCCTGATTTCTCTAAACGCCCTGCTGATAATATACTGCACTGACACTCAAAAACCTAAGAAGCCCAATGGCTCTCCACACACACAAAAATTTGATAGAAAATTAAAATGCAGCACCATACATATCTCTTGAGTAATGAAAATATATACCAGTACTCAAATAAGAGTAAATAGAATTGCACACTAAATGTTAGGATGACATCTATCTATCTATCTATCTATGTATATCCTACCACAATTTCAAAGAACTTTTGATGCTTCACAAAAGATGAACAATGCATAAAGCATCCACAATCCAAGTGTAAAACAAAGACCTGAAAGAATATAAACAGTAAGAAACAATCTGTCATCCTAACTATGATTATCACCCAACCCGAACACCTTCCAGAAGAACTCCCAATCCTTTCTGCTTTAAGTTAATTCCCATCAACATTTTAAAGTTGTATAATCCGGCCATAACCGCAATAGCCCACATGTTATGGGTCAGTCTCAACTCTGCCATTTTGCTGGAAGAACTGCATGAGTTACCAGTATGTTTCTGAATGCAAGGAGCATCCATCCTTTGAGGACTTCCAGGAAAATTGTAACGATTTGGCTTTTCCAGAGGACCTTTCAAGATTGATCCTGGAACCATCAATTGTAAACTTTAATTTTATTATAATTATATATTGTATATTGTATATCATCAGTCATGGTCTTTCAGCCCTACATACTTCATAGGGATGTTTCATAGAAAAGTTGGAAAAATAAGTGCTCTGTGTGCCTCTTTGAGCAGCCAGAAGAAATGAGGTTAAAAAAAATGAATGAAATAAATAATTATCTTTCAATACTTACCTGGCATACTGTAAGTAAAGGGATTTATAAAAGTACAGTCACAGTATAGTCATAAAAGCAAGTGAAATGGTTATAAGGGAGAAGGTTGAAATTTATTAAAGACCAGAGAAAATGAGAAAGGTCATTCAAAATGCATCTGTGGTTATCAGCGAAACATTCTTTGGGAAATTTTTTAGCAAGACACCTTTGAGAAGGTCACTTTCCTAGTTATCGTATGTCTCACTTTAGATTCCAGGGGAAAAATGCATTTAGGATGGCAAAGATTACTTATGCCCTAAATCACCGAGAACTTTAAGAAAGCACTAACATTTTGAACTCTACCCTGAAGCAGACCTGGAGCCACTGAAATAGTTTGGTCAACGTTTTCAAGTTCTAATTACTTAGTGTGCACATACAGAATAACAAAATATTGGAGTTGGAAGGGACCTTGGAGGTCTTCTGGTCCAGGCTATTCAGAAGGAGACCCTATATCATTTCAGACAAGTGGCCATCCAGTCTCTTCTTTAAAAACCCCAGTGATGTAGCACTCACAGTTTCTGTAGGCAAGCCATTCCATTGGTCGATTGTTCTCACTCTTAGGAAGCTTCTCCTTAGTTCTAGGTTGCTTCTCTTCTTGATTACTGCAGTTTCCATCCATTACTTCTTGTCCTGGAGAATAGGTTGACCCTCTCTTCTTTGTGAAAGCCCCTTAGATATTGGAATACCAAAGCTTCAGCTAGGCATTAAAAATCCAAAATATTCACCATGTAACACCTTCTCCACCCAACAAAGATGGCATATGAATTTCAAGAGAACAAAGACTTTGCATTATTATTTGGAAGCCTGGTTCACTTAGTAGCCAGTGAAATGTCTCCCCTGCAGATATTCCTAAAGGGGCATTGTTGGAAGACATGATTTTCTCTAAGTTTATAGCCTTAAGTAAAGCTTTAAAAAGACAGCCAAGCTCAGCTGGTAGAAAGTCCTTTGGCATCCTCAGCATTGTAAACCTGGTTGTTTCAAGACAGAATTCAATTCCATTCGAAATAGAATGAATCTTAACTTTTACAACATATGGTATACTTTCAATTACTTTGAAAGTGAGAGTGCAGTTTAATGAGACTCAAGCACGATCAAAGGCAATGCTTTTCATTTTAAAGGAAGCTTCTGGTGCTCCTACCTTCTACTCTTATCTTTTTCTATGGAAATTGCACTGATAAATATGTACCTCTGAAAAAGGTAAAATTTCTTTCCACAAATAATTGAATTATAACCCCCATGAGTGTCATGATCTGTATAATATGACACATCAATCTGGAATTATTATTTCCTTTAATAATTCCCCTTCTTAGACTTCCATTGATCTCTTTCTTGTGCCTGCATCACTCTGAAACATCTGTGTTTTCCTTCAACTCGCCATCATGCCTTATTTGA